CTTCACTACATTACTATTTTGTAATCTGATTGTTCTTCACTACACTACTGTTTTGTAATTTGTCTGTTCTTCACTACATTACTGTTTTGTAACCTGGCTGTTCTTTTACTACATTATAATTTTGTAATCTGTTTGTGCTTCACTACATTACTATTTTGTAATATGACTGTTCTTCACTAATTACTATTTTGTAATATGACTGTTCTTCACTAATTACTATTTTTTGATATGATTGTTCTTCACTACATTACTATTTTGTAATATGACTGTTCTTCACTAATTACTACTTTGTAATTTGTCTGTTCTTCACTAATTACTACTTTGTAATTTGTTGGTTCTTCACTACTTCATAATTTGTCAGTTCTTCACTACGTCACTATTTTGCAATTTGTCGGTTCTTCACTATGTTACTGTTTTGTAATTTGTCAGTTCTTCAAATTATTTGTGTAAAATATGCTCAGAAATTTTTTAGTGGAAATCTCATCGTGAAATTATTGATAGAAAAAAAGGTCGTGGACATTTAAGAATTTTTCTAATTCCGCCTTCAGCATAAGCACTTCAAAAATAATTAAAATCATTTCGAGCTAAGTTTTTCATTAGCTTTTGTCTAAACTGATTTAATAAAAAGAGAGAAAGAAAAATGAAACTCCTAATGGCAATAGTATAATAGAATGAATGTCATAAATCTTATTGTGATGCACAAAACAGTCATCTGATTAGATTACGTGTATTTTATACAGTGATTGATTTATGCCGGGATATTTGGAGTGACATTTAGGGGGTCCCATTACCAGATATTTCAGGGGCAATCTTCTGCTTTTTAGGGACAATCAGGATTTGAAATTCATAATTGTGATTTATGTCATTAACACTACTTTGTCTTTTTGTGTTCTTATCAATTTATTCTTTGAAATCTAAAATAATTAAAGTTCTTAAAAAAAACTGGTTCGTGATATTACTTGTAACCATCATATACCTGTGATGACTAATGCACGTGACAACACTCTTGACAACAAATAAAATTAATTGGAACAATTATTGTTTTAAATTTTATTTAGATGTGATGTGTGTTATCATACAAGAAAACCTACAGGCTCGAACATCACCTTGAAATAATCAAGGTTTTCATTAGACCCACAAGGTTCTTTGTTAGGTGGAACTGCAATCAGTGAACTGAGAAAATGTTTAAAAATAATGGAATGCAATTGTGTGTGCAAACCACAAGATATATACAGAATTTGTTAATGTGCCCAACAGTGTTAGTTGTCTCAGTAACAATATGACAGTGAATCTTTGCTTTGCTGGGTTGGTTGTCATGGTGATGTTACTATTCAGCAGCTAGTCAGATACAGTTGTTGTTCCATTGGTAAGTTTAAATAATATAGTCACTAAATATTAGGTTTTGATTACACACTAGAAGAATTTTTAGCTTTGACCAAAGTTCATTATTTGGGAGAAAAATGCAAGGATTTAGCCGAGGTAAAAAAAAAAAAATTTATGTTTAGCTTCTGGGGATTTTGAAAAAAGGAAGGAGGATGTCTTTTTTTTTTTTTTTAATGACTTTTTTGAAAACAAATTTGCACCTTTTTTTTCATGATTGTTTCTTGTTTTCAAAGGGTCTATATCAAACCGAAATCTTTTTTTGTTTCATTTTTTCATCAAAATGATAGAAATTATGACAAACAAAGAAAAGTGCAAAATGAATCAACTGTGTTCATCTCATTTTTTGTTCAGAAGTCCTCTTTGTTATTTTGTATGGTAAAAAAAAAAATTACCCCCCAAGAAGTGGGAGTGGCGACTGTAAAATCGGAAGCTGGCGGAGATGCTAAACGTGTATTGTTTTTACTTGGCCTAACCGCTCGTTTATTAGACTGAATGTTGGGAAAGGTTTCAATTATAATTAGGGGACTATAAATAAAAACATTTTTTTTTTTTTAGTGTTTTGTTCGTTATCATGCAGACATTGGCTAGTTCTTTTAATGGCTTGTTTCCTAGTCTTTTTGTTTGAATAAGTGGTTTTTCAATAGCTTGAGTATTACTGGAATTGCTAGAATCTTGCATTTGTACAGCTGTTACTGCATTTATTATAAAATATAATGAAACATAGTTTTGTTTTGAGTTTACTTACTGATTAATCAAGGCACGGTAGTGTGTCGTGCAGCCAAAACAAAATGCTGCAGGACACACTGAGCATTATTAACAGGAGTGATAGTTTAGTGATATTCCTCCTTCTGTAGCTTGGACTGTGGTAACCCAAACTATCACATATTTTCAGTGGATGTGCTCTACTGGACTCTTACTTCACACTGTATTACTGCTGTTACTTTGAAACTATTTTACATTTGGCTGTTCTTCACTTTAACATGGTTTAGTGAAGGGTTCATTGCATAATTATTTTGTGGTTTGGGCTCTTCCAGTTTCTGTCCTCTCAAAGTTGATAATATTGAGAGATATGGTCTGAATCTTCCCTTTTAAAGGGCTGTTTTTATTCTAATGGCTGTCTTGAGAACTTTTCAAATGCATTTCCATTTCATAGTCTGGTGGTTAGGGTGCATTATTTGAAATTTGTGGATTGCGGGTTCAAATTCCTATCACCAATGTGACAATCAATCTCATTATTCATTGATGAAGTGTATCCAAAGAGTTGTTGGTGGTAGGTGGTGTTGATTAGCAAAATTATCTGTATTACAGTTTTACACATTATTGATTATAAATGTTGTTTCGTATCAATTTTAATTTTATTGTCATGAGTTGTTAAAACCTATCCATTTTGAGCTTTTTAAAACCTTTCAAAAAAAGTTGTTTATCCTGTTGAAATAAGATTGTTTTTTTTTTCCTTATGTTATGTGACTGTGAAAACTTTTAGTTTGCTCCAATATACAAAATAAAAACTGCTTAAAACCTAAGAATTTCTTAATGTAGTTAAAATTTGAACAAAACTCAGGAACTTGAATGTAGTATATAGGTATTTACTTGAGATGCTGAATATTGTTGGAGGAAAGAAATGTTTTCTTAAGAGTTGTTTAAAAAGAGATCTGTCTTGACTTGCAGCACCCGGAATAATGGAAGGACCTGTAATAGAAATCCTGAACACAACAACAGTGCGTGTTCGTTGGACTTCCCCAGAGGAGCCCAATGGTCCAGTTGATCTTTACCTATTGCATGTAGGCTGGGCTAACATGCAAAACACCACAAACTCGGGGGAGGTTGTGTATAATCTCACTACTGTGTCTGGTTCTCACACCCTTACCTATTTTTGGCCAGACTGTGCAGAGTCAGACAAGAGTAAAATGTTTTCTTTCCAAATTCAAGCAGCCAACATCAAGAACCAGAGCCTACTAGTAGGTCCTCTTAGCAATCGAACAGAAACCAGGTTGTGTGGGCCAGAAGGTAATGTAACCTTAAAGTATCTTTCTTATATCATGTTAAAATGAAATAATAAAAGTGTGATTTTCATTGCATGCCAGACGTGACCACTACAATAGAAAGAATTCCTTTTGCTGCTTCAATAAAAACTGCTTTTATAATGAATTGTGGAAATGAAAATATCTGGAGCAAATGCAATATAATATTTCATTGTATTTTCCAAAATGTACATGTTTTTTATTTGTGCATTGTGGTGTTGACACAATGTAGTATGCTTTAAGTTAGGCACATGTGTATAATCTAAATTGTTGTAACACTGCAGTGTATACCATGTTCTTCAAACAAGTATGGTCTAGATTTTTAATACATTTTCTAATTTGTTGGTACTGCAGTATATTCCAGATGTTGACACAATTTAGTATATGCCAAATTCACATGCGAGTATAATCTAAAATATTAACACAATTTAGTATATTCCAAATTCACAAATGTATAATCTAAAATGTTGACACAATTTAGTATATTCCAAATTATCACATGTATAATGTAAAATGTTGACACAATTTAGTATATTCCAAATGATCACACATGTATAATCTAAAATTAGTATATCCTAAATTATTACACATGTGTGATCTAAATTGTTGACACACTGCAGAATTCCATATTGTTCACATGGGTATGCAGTACATTCCAAATTTTCCGTACAAGTATGATCTAAATTTTCAAGACACTTACATTTTCTCATTTATTTGGACACTGTAGTATATTTCAACTTATTCACATTACCTTTATCTAATTTTTTACACGTGTGTGTGTATTTTCTTTCATGTTGAATGACTAATATTCTTTTTGATTGTTGACACATTACAGTCTGCTGTAAACTGTTGACGCTTCTCTTCATTTGTTCAAAAGGGAATGAACTATTTACCTCAGTAGTAAGCTTATACTTCATGAATAATATGGCATAAACAATTTTTTTTCCATATATAGCACTTCAAAAGAATTAAGACAAATTTATGTACGTCCCAAAAACGTTTATACAAAGTTACTTTCTTTATGAGTGCTTGGTTTATATTATTCCAGTGTTATCATTTGAAAAGAAGGTTACTGTTTTTTGACACATAAATAAAAAACAGTAATAATCATGTTTTAATCTTGTAAGTATTTAATGATTTTTTACTGAAAGGTTATTAAAACTAGCAGAGATGTACCCATTAAAGATGTTAACATTGTATGAAGAGTAATGTTAAATAATGTTCCCTTTTCTTTTTTTGTTGTTAAATCCTTAATGACCTCAATAGATGTTAATTGCATACCTTGCTTTGTGGAAGGTAATAATTGACTCGTTTAACTGATTAAGTACTTATATGTTTTAAAATTCAAAGTCTAATAAAAAAAAAAAGTGTAAATGTGCCATATTTCAGTGTTGTTTTTTTATCTCCTTTCTCAGGCAATAGTCCTAAAACAAAATAACTCATTAAACTGTTGGACAATTTACAGTTAAAATTCAGAATATTACAGGAATCGATCTAGCCAACATTGGGTGATGCAAACCAAAAGTTTATACCAAAGCTGAAATGTGCCCTATTTCAGGGGCCCTTTACCCCCCCCCCCCTTATGAAAAATTCCTAAAACAAAGTAGCCCGTTCACAATGTCAGACAGTTTCCAGCAAAAACCGGAAAGTAACGATAGTTGAGCCAGCCAATTCTAAGTGATACACACACTTGATGATCTTTATAGTAAGAAATAATAGCACAAACAGTATTTCCAATAGAGTACTTAGTCCAAAATTATGAAAAAAATGTTTGAACACTTTTAGGGCCTGAAGCAGCTCTGGTGATTGGTGTAGTAGTTGGAAGCTGTCTTGGTCTTATACTGCTGGTACTTGTTTTAGCTGCTTTAGTGAGATGGTGAGTAATGATTATGAAGCAAATTTAAGTATAATATATAACCAAAAAATTGACCAAAGGGTTCTCCAAATTTTGATTCGGATGCTATGGTACTTATTATATTGAAATATAATACAATTCATGTAGATCCAGCATTATTATTAGAACCCCCACAGTTGTTTTATTATTGCTGTTTAAAAAAATACAAAGCAGATAATTTCATATGTTTTTATTTTATTTTATCTTTGGGTCAACAAACTTAAATGAATTACATTTACTGACATTTTTTTTTTCTACCATGAGTTTTTTTCTATTGTTTTTGTTATATTTTCTTTAAAGAAAATTTAGGGTGATGGTGAACTTTATTGCAAGTTTTGTGTAAAATTTTAAAGCTGTAATGGGAATGAAATACTTGTTTACATTTAGGTTTCAATACTGTAAACATTTTGCTAAAAACTAATGTCAGAATTAACCTGATACAATATCAGAAAATTATTAAATCAGTACATCATGTTTCACCATCCTAGGCATTGTATATATATCTGTATGTGTGTACAGGTAGGTTGAAGTGGGTATGTTATGACCCTTTTACAGAATTATATTCAAAACTTAAACTACTTTATTATCTATATATATATCAATAAACTTGACATTAAAATGTAGTTAATACACTGAGTTTTAATATTAGATACGTTTTAATTTCTTAATTTCAAAAGGAAACATTTCAATAAATTCTCATTCTTCACTTCTCTATCATTTGACGCTTCTTTGCTCCGAATTGCCCATTTTAGATATCCTTAGTACTCCCTTATAATGTCCTGAGCTTAACATAAATCACACATTTATAGTATACTAGTGTATAGCTCGTCAAAGATGATGGAGCAAGTACTACCACCCTCACCCCATAGTATACCCTAACCTCACATTTCATAGCTAACTGAAATAAATATATTTTGCGAAATCAAGCTTGACCAACAAAGAGGTAGAAAAGTGCAGTTGAGGCAGTCAATCGTTCGTAAATTCCTTTGTGAGCCAATCAAAATTATAATCATTCATGAAATGAATTCATAGAATAGATTGGTAAAAATCGGATTAATAACTTCTAATATATATATATATATAGAAGCCAATGCATTTTGGTAGCACTAAGTTCCAACAGTGGCTTTTATGTCATGTCGCTTAGCAACAAAAGTATAACCTAATATTGTCGTTAGTTTACATATTGAAAGTATAGAGTGAAATGTATAAACAACAAAACTGGAAAAATATTTGTTGATTTCTTAATTTAGAGATTTGTTTTTTATTAAAAACATTGGTGATATAACAGAAAATAGCTTAATTCAGAAACAATTTAAGTTTAAAAATGATCGATATTTTTACTTTCATGACAAATTTTATGCACTTGGATCTAGATCTTTACTTTAGGCTTATTATACCAACACTCAATACACTTATAAGGTTTAAATGGCAACCCCCTCCTCATCATGGGCCCCCTTGCACTAAAATTCTAATAAGCAGACAGTAATTGAACTATTTTATCTGGATAAATGACACCTCCTATTTCAAGAAATCAAGCATGACTTGATACACACTTTCTTTTATATAGGTTAGATGCATATTATTTAATAATATGAACTTATGTCCTCCAAGCTTCTTGTTTTATAGAGATATGAGCCAGAAAGTCAAACTCCCCATGTCATACCCTCATATTGCATCTTGTATGTCAAAAACTGTCAATAATTATGTCTGGAATTTGCCATTGGGTTATTTATAACGAACAGAAAGAAACATTTCCAGTTTAATTGGTTCCGTTTAAAGCTAGCTCATTCTTACAATAGGTTTTGAATTATTAAACCTACAAATTCATTGTTGCTATTACATAAGTTATATTGACCCGATAAGGGAATTATTTTAATATACTTATAGCTCAGTTATAAAGCCAGTTAAATTTTAATAGTTTTAGATCATTATATTTTTTTTTGTGTTAATATTTTGTACACTTAATTGCATTGAAATAAATTAAAATTATGTACTACTGCCATTGTTACATAAAAAAAAGGGTTAAGTTTTATTGGGAACGAGAGAAAAAACAACAAGTGGTCAGACATAAGTACCGAGTTTCTTGTTGTTTTTTTTATGCATATTTATTTATTATTATAAAAGTAATTAAAATTTAAAAATTTGAATTTTATTAGGTTAGATAATTAAACTTAAATGAGAAGAAATGAAAAAACTTTCATCAAGATACGCTCATGTATTACTTAATAAAACAATAAAATTAAAGGAGAACAGGTGTAAACTGTTTTGAGCATGAACCTGTTTTGGATGAATAATTAGTTTCTTTTACAATCTACAGCCATTCTAAAAAAGAAAAAAAAGGTAACTTAGATTTATTTAGTATTTTGTTGTTGTGGCCGTTTAAAGGTCAGTCAAATAGACCGAGGCCACATGGTGTTAAAGTAAAGAAAATAACAGAAAAAATATAATGTATTACTGGAAAAAAACTTTTGATATTCATTTGTGAGGTTCTAGAAGTTATGAAGAAGTAATATGAAAACTATAAGGTGAAAACAAAAAGTATTTTTATTCTTGATATGAAGAATCACCTTTCCCTCGGACTGACTTCATAAAGGACAAATCTTTAGTAGAAATACTTTATTAAAAAATTATGATTTTTTGTGTACAAAATATTTACGATGTTTTCTGAAAGCATGTCAAATTCTGTAAAGATACACTTACTATATTAAAAGTTATAGCAGCTATAGTTTCATGGTTACACAGTAGCTTAAAAGTGTAGCCCAAATGACTGAGTCTGTACGTGGAGAGTTAACCCTCTGAATACAGACTTGGTCATTTTGACCAATCTTGTAAATCATGGAATTGCATACTATAACTCAAAATGTACAAAGTGTACCCTCATGAAATTTGTATGGCTATTGTACACACAAAAAAACAGATATTTTCAAAATGAAGTATTTTTTATTAAGCATTTATCCATGAATTTGCAAAGCTTTTTTCTTTTACTTTCTGTATTCATTGCCCCCCCAAAAAATAATTAATGTAGCTTTGAAATGGGTATTTTAAAACAAAGAAAATATATTGGGCACTAAAACAGAATGGCCCAAAACTACTATAATTTATCTGGCTCTCTAATTAAGCTACAAATTGTTTAGAAAAGTTCCATTATTCTTTGGAGCACTAGTGTTAAGACAAATCAAAAGCTATCATCTGAATCAATAATGGCCTTTCATTTCGTTTATAAACACGTGACTTTGACAAGTAAATGTAAGTAAATCATTTTTAAAGCATGTAGGGTTTGGAGGAGCTTCTGTGATGGGTGTGAATAAGGTGCGAAGCTCTTATTTTATTATTTATTTAGCAAAAACTGAAACTCTTATAAGGGAAGAAAGAAAGAGGGTCACATGACAAAGGAAAATGTAAAATGGGAATTTTTTTTTTAAATTAAGAACTTGAAATTTAGATAAAATAAAATTTTGAGTTATACATTTTAATGCCAAATTTATTGACACACATCATTAATAAAGTAGTTTAATTAAATTTTGAATGTAACTCTACTAAAAAAAAACGTTCGTGACATACAGACCTTCCACCCGTATCCAGAGGATTAAAATCATAATTCATAATTTTAAAAAAAATGAATGAATTGATGGTTTGTGGCATTCCAGGATGCTTAATGTTGTACTGGTTTTGGACAAGGTTATTTCATAGGTGTGGATATTCCTAGAAGTGGTACAACTCGGTGTCAATTTATGAATTAAATGGTGGATTGGGCTTTATTTTTGCTATGTTAAACAACTTTTCTTCTGTATAATTAAAAAGAATAAGTTAGTAGCATCAAATTTTTCAAATCCTATACAAGTTTCATGGTTATCATACAGTGTTATTTATATGCACAGGTTGTATATGTGTGTTTATGTAAATATTTCACACAGGATGAAGAACAAGGTTGACTGGATGAACGATATAAAAGTTCAACTCCCAAGTGGATTAGATGCACCGAACTCGGTGAGTATTTTACTGAACAGGTTTTATGTTCATACATTTTAAAAGTGCTATTAAAAGGAGATATAGCTGTTTGTCCTTCCAAGGCCTTGTTTATGTTAGGAAAGGCATTTTAGTTTGCTTTTGTCTTATTAGATCAGATGTAAGTGTGACAAAATATTTACAAGCTAATACTACCATATTAGACTCTTCATCATTCATTAAAAGTATGGAATTTAAGTTAAATTTAATTGTGATCATAGTCCTGGCGAGAAGATACTTCATACTAGGTTAAATGCCCACTAATTAGTTTTTTACATTTTCATCCTTCATCATCAAGTAAAATATGTTACAGTACAGTAGAAAGTAGTATCAACTACTTGTTGATGTGTATCTAAATACGGGAGATGAACGGAATGTTTATAGCTACAAGATTTTGTTAATAGAAAACAGTTCCCAGATATATGTATGTTTGTAGATAATGTTCGGATAATCAGGTGATATGTAGAAACATTGAAAATATTGCTTTTATTGTAAAGGTTCAAATGTTTTAGTGTCTGAATACACTGAAATTGGTCCTCTCAGAGGAAAGGTTGAAACTTTGTTGTAGTGATACACTGAAATTGGTTCTCTCAGAGGAAAGGTTGAAAAACTTTATTGTAGTGATACACTGAAATTGGTCCTCTCAGAAGAAAGATTGAAAAATTTATTGTAGTGATACAATCTTTCTTCTGAGAGGACCAATTTCAGTGTATCACTACAACAAAGTTTTCAATCTTTCTTCTGAGAGAACCAATTTCAGTGAAACTTTGTTGTAGTGATACACTGAAATTGGTTCTCTCAGAAGAAAGGTTGAAACTTTGTTGTATTGATATACTGAAATTGGTCCTCTCAGAAGAAAGGTTGAAACTTTGTTGTATTGATACACTGAAATTGGTCCTCTCAGAAGAAAGATTGAAAAATTTGTTTTAGCGATACACAGAAATTGGTCCTCTCAGAAGAAAGATTGAAAACTCTGTTGTAGTGATACACTGAAATTGGTTCTATCAGAAGAAAGATTGAAAACTCTGTTGTATTGATACACTGAAATTGGTCTTCTCAGAAGAAAGATTGAAACTTTGTTTTAGTGATACACAGAAATCGGTCTTCTCAGAAGAAAGATTGAAAACTTTGTTTTAGTGATACACAGAAATTGGTCTTCTCAGAAGAAAGATTGAAAACTTTGTTTTAGTGATACACAGAAATTGGTCCTTTCAGAAGAAAGATTGAAAACTCTGTTGTAGTGATACACTGAAATTGGTTCTCTCAGAAGAAAGATTGAAACTCTGTTGTAGTGATACACTGAAATTGGTCCTCTCAGAAGAAAGATTGAAAACTCTGTTGTAGTGATACACTGAAATTGGTCCTCTCAGAAGAAAGATTGAAAACTCTGTTTTAGTGATACACTGAAATTGGTGCTTTCAGAGAAAAGTTTGAAGAACTTGTTATAACCCTGTAAGTCCTACCACACTCGTCCAAGTGACTCCCAGGTCCAATTTTCTTGCCCTGAGGGCAAAATTTCACTTGTGAATGAAAAAAAATTATCAAAAATGTATTTGAAATTGTACTTCAGATTTTATTTTTTAAACAGTAACATAATATTCAATTATTTCTACTAAATTGTTTTATTTAATGAAGTTTAGAGAGATATTTAACTATAAAAATCCAAAATATGTTTTAGACTGTAAATAAGTGCCCTCTAAGGCTAAAACATTTTAAAAAAATTTTTCCTTGCACTTTAGCACTTGTTCTGCCATCTTTGATCAATATTTAAACTTTTTTCTTTAAAAAAAAACAGTGTGTTCAACCCCCGTTATAAAAGTTTAATCAACCCTAATTGTAAGATATCAATATCGGTACAACATTATCCTATGCATCGTATTTTACGTTTGGCAAAGCACATGCTGAAACATTGTGTGCTATATTTAAATAGAAAAGTGGGTGGTGCTTATTATAAACATTGACATTTTATTTTGCGACTACACTTAGTTTAGGGCCATATTTCTTTATTATACATCCTAGAAATTTTCCCTTTGAAAGTAACTGCATGGCACGTACGTACTTTTATTATTTTTCTATAGCAGCAAAAGTCATGCTATTTCATATATCTATTTATGTTCATCGTTATAGCTCAAAATAAATATATTTTGTAAGAAAAAAGTTGATTCCCAAATGTTAGGGTTAAGCTTTACCGATGAGGCGAGTACAAGGTCTTTACGAGTGGATTAATCTTAGCACTTTGAACTGAATGAGATTGTGACTTTTATATTCTTTTGCATTTAAATTAGCAGGTATAAGTAAAAAAAAATTTAGCTTATCGTTATATTTACTTCACAATAAAAGTATAATTCACTATTTAGAAAGATAAGCTTGTGAGATTTGTACATACTACTAATAGTACTACGATAGTTAGGCTATTCGTAATAATCAATTTTTTCTTTCTCCTTCTTGCTATCTGTACTGTGTAGTCTAGACCCATGCTTCTTTGTTTTTATATAAATTAAAACCAGACTAAGTAATAAAAAAACAAAATATATTTTGATATCTTGCAAAAAGTTTAAGGAAATGAAATTACATAACATTTGTATACCAAAGTTAATCAAGGTACATATACAGAAGACGACCATAAAAGAAAACTAATTTAACATTGTTATACTAAAAAAGCTACTCTGAGATATATAAACAATCACATCAGTAGGTGATACCAAACTGTTAACAACGTACATACAAACTGTACATGTATATACTATTCATGTAAACGTACACTTGTTTATTATACATGTTTGTACAAGTCATGAGCAGATGCACAAATAAATTACAACTGAAATTCAGCATTGTTACCAAAAAGATATCTGAACATGAAATAACCAAATGTAGATCAACAGTTAAAACTAAACGGTGTATAGATGCACAAATAAATTACAACTGAAATTCAGCATTGTTACCAAAAAGATATCTGAAGATGAAATAACCAAATGTAGATCAACAGTTAAAACTAAACGGTGTATAGATGCACAAATGAATTACAACTGAAATTCAGCATTGTTACCAAAAAGATATCTGAAGATGAAATGATCAAATGTAGATCAACAGTTAACACTAAACGGTGTATAGATGCACAAATAAATTACAACTGCAATTCAGCATTGTTACCAAAAAGATATCTGAAGATGAAATGACCAAATGTAGATCAACAGTTAACACTAAATGGTGAAGAGTTTACGTATAAACTGTGAACTGTTCAGACAAATACTGATATCTTTGTACATACATTTTGACACAGAAATTGAAACTCGAGATTTGTATACAAAAATAATGAAAATTGAGCACAGTAATGTAAGATAAATAAAAACTAATATTCGAGGTACGCAAAAAATTGAATTTGTATGGTCTTTTAAAACAGTATGCATAGTCGAATATGTCTTTGTGAAAATATTGGCTATACATAAAATGAAAATGCGAAAGTTTTAAAACATTAGAAATAGAATTTTGTTCGAAACAAATGGAAAGACCTAAATATAAATGCTGAGTGATGGTATTAAAAAAACAAAAATATATTTAAAAAAAAGCAAGGTGTAATAAATAACAAACCTCTTCTGAAGAAACTAGTTTTTAATAAACTAATGATAAAAAGACAGTAAAATAATAATAACAAAATAAAAGGAGTCAGATTGAGTTTTACTTTTCTTTCTAGTAAAAAAAACTAGAAATATGATGCTTGACTTTATTTTCAGAAAATTTGTTATAAGTTCAGAAGTTAGAAAATCTAATTACTTATTGACTGATTTTAGTAGAAAGAAAGTTAACTTCTTTGAAGAGTCACAGAAGTATGACACTCTCCAAAGTGTGGAGGCACAACCTGCACCTTTTCTTGCCTTCAACAAAGTGCTGGAAAGTGCCTCCCCCCGGTGAGAGCCGATCGTGTGCGTCTGCCAGAACTGATGAATGAATACTTGACGCACGAGAAGGCCCTCCTTTACTTTCAAATACTGAATTCACAAGGGATTCCACTAATTGTATGCAGAAGTTTTTGTGACTGTATTTACCCTTGTTAGTTGCTTCTTTTGAGAACTATGAAAGAATTGACAATAGAGAGGTCAACAAGTCTTAAAAAAAGCTTTTTATACCATTTCAATTTTATGTGGAATGGAATAATAGTTCAAAAATTAATCATTCAGATCAACCCTTCCCATGAACTAATCATGTCACCCTGTCTTCTTGTCAATTCCTCTACTCTGACACTATGCAGCATAGAAAGAGCATGAATATCTATCTCTCTTATCAGTCCACTTCACAGCAGTCAGTTAACAACAGCTCAAAAACTGCGACTCTCGCCTTTTTAACTTACCTGGGAAGTGGGCCCTGTCCTTCATACAAGTGCCACAAGCATAAGTGCCAAGTGAAAGCGACTTATCAAATAAACTTGGAAAAGTATAAAAGTTTTCACTAAAGAGAGAGTGTCCCCTTCCAAGGTACTTGTCCATTAACCCTTTCTCCCCGGGTAGGTTAAAGTGCACGTGTGACGACGTTTTGGAGCATTATTTTCAAAATTTTATTAAATAACATTTTTACTATTTACATCAGTGAAATTGGCATCAAAACATAGTTTATAATTTATATCTTGATATTATATGTTTTAATTTCTTAATTTAAAAGGAAATGTAAAGAAAAAAGTTAAATATCGATTTTGTGTGTCACATAACATGTCCAGTTGTCTTATTGTTCAGTTGCCGTTTTATTATGCCCACCATACAACATGTATAAGTATCTAACGAATTAGAAACTCAAATTTGAAATATAGTAAAGCTAAATATAAAATAAGAACCTCCCTCCTCTATGATTTGCTGAGATAGCAATATTTTTAGCGAATCTACTAGAGTGGCTCCTCCTACTGCACCAATCTTTTGAAAGCTCTTATCTAGTCCCACCTACTACTAATTAGCTACTGCTTATAACCAATAGAAAGAACATTTTCACTCCTACGT